AGGCCTTGGTCATTAACATGTACAATAACACCTCTAAGTTTGTAATACAAAACTTGTTGTTATCAAAATACTTCTTAAGAGTAGTCTTCACTTAAGCTACTACCGAAACTATTAGAAAAACTAATAAGAAACAACCTAGACTTCAAATAATTTAGACATCCACATCCTAGGAATATAACAAAAGAATTTTTTTTTAACTTGTGGTTCTTACTCAAATAGGTAGAAAGTGAACCAACAAATCTATATATCTATTTATATTTATATAATATACTAAAGTAAACCCAAAAATAATCCTAGAATACATGTGTCAGCGCCTCATAAAAAAAAATATACATAAATTCACTGAATTTATTTATATATTTATTTTTAATGAAGTTAGTTTTATAAGGTAGAAGATGAAATAAAAAGTATTATCTTAAAATTCTTTAAAAAATCATCAGACAAAATTAATTTTTTCATATTATCCATAAAGATAAAATAACCATATATTATGAAAAATTCGAACATGATTTAACTAGTGACATACAAATGAAAGATAGTTCATTAAATAAAATTTTAAGTATGAAAGCTAGTTTTGAGTTTAGGAATTATTTTCTGTCCAACCCCAAAGGAAAAGTTAATATTCTGTCACATAATTGTTTGCAAGTTTAAAAATGACTCTTGACTTGAGGTAAGCATTTTTATGTGTTATAATACATTAACTTGACTTGAGGTGTAAAGGTAAGCATTTTAATCTTGCAAACAATTTTGTGAAAGAATATTCATTAAATAAAATAGTTCTTTTCTTCCACTGCTACTTAAATTTCATTGAATTGAATGATAATTAATCAATCACTCAGGCAAAAATTATAATATTAATTAAAAACATTTATTGATTTTCCAAGGGTCAAAAAATTGCTAAATATTTTTCTTTTTTAATTTTCCTACGCATAACCCATGCATGACACGGGCCAAAAGGCTAGTCGATATAAAATATGACAATCAGAATTTTTAAAAATGAACAATTAAAATTCAATGAATTTTTTAAATATTAATGTGAATTAACATTTAATTTAATTATTTTCTGATAAAACATTTAACTTCTGTTACTTACTTTTCATTTTACTAATAATTAATAATGAGTTTCATAAATTTATTTAAAATGTTTTTATTAAAATTATTAATTTTCAAAAATTTAAAATGAATTCCTAAAATAAGTAAAATGAGTTATAATTAATTTGATTGTTAAAAAATACTAACAAATCGTTAAAACACAGCCGTCCAATTTTTGAAATTGTGGTAAAATGAATACAATAAAAAAGGGTTGTGTGGCCGACCATCATATCACAGGGTTTATATCGTTAGTGTTATAGCCTTATAGGGGCTACTTGATCAATGTTACAGGATTCACATCAACAGTGTTACAGGGGTTATTACTTGATTAATATTATAGGGGTTATTGGGTTGTTGTTAAAGGAGTTTGTTCTTTTACAAGCGGACACATGGTGTGGTGTGGATAATCGCACAAAAGACGCACTAATATATATATATATATAAACACAACTAAAGTTGTTACATAAGGCAAACTTGAAAGATCTTTATTACAAACGAGGCAGACCCGGTGTCACGGTCCGGGAGTTTGGACCCCGAAACGTGCGGCGCGCTCTAGTCTTTTGGCGGCAAGAACGCTAGCCTTGAGCGGAAGAGGGGCTTGTGAGCACAAAGCAACACAAGCGGGCAATAGAATCTCAGGAGCACTCACGTCTATCTGGGCGACGGAGTGCGGGTGGTCGGGGCTTGTGACGACCGATACTTCAAAGCGGGCACAAGCGGGTCCGAACCACGAGTCCTTAGCGCATCAAGTTGGGTTGGAGGGGAGCTAATATGCAAGTAAGACACAATATCTATAAAGGTCTAACAACAAACAAGCATAAAAGCCAGGCAACACTTGGTAGAAGGTTTTAAGATTTCATTAATCATTCGCCCTCTAAAGAGCTTTAAATGACATACAAGGAGAATCCCTAGTGAACACTGATCTGACAGTAACACAATAATGGGACCTCAAGCTAAGAAAACATAACCTAAAATCTAGGAAAGCACTTAAATGGAATCTAATACATCAAAAGGAGTTGGATTCTAACATCCTCCTCTACTTAAGCTGTCGACGACCTCGTCGACTTACAAAAGTTACAATCAAAATTAGAAAACCCTAAACTATCTCAAGTTTCGGATGCGCCGTTGGTGCGGCTATCTTCTGGAATCTTATCTGACTCTTGAGCTGGATCTTCTTTGTTGACGAGGAGCTTGTCTCTGGAGTCGCTCGGCTCGAACATCTTGATGAGAGCTTCATCTCTAAATTTCCTCCTGGGAGTGGAATCTGTTGAATTAAGGGGGACAGCTGCTTCTACCATCATCTGTTGGGGAGTTGCTTCCTTGAGACTGTGGTGGAGAGCTTCAAGTTGTGGCTGGTGCCTCTTGGGTGACCATTTTCTTTGTAATCCCTTGCACGCGCCCTGCGTTGTTTGCTCAACCACTGTTTTTCCTCCCTCTTGGGAGGTTCTTCTTTGGTGTCTCTGGGCTCGTCGCTCTTTGCTTCGAACCTTGTGACTGATTCTGGTTTTGGCGGGTGTGTATCTGGGATGTTGCCAACTCCATGGGCTTCATCTCCCGCTTCTCTGGGTTTCTGGTGCGAGCTTGTTTCTTCGATGTTGCCTTCTTCTCAGGCTCCATCACTCGCATTGCCGAAAGATATCGGACTTCTGGTTCTTCTTGAGGTGCTATCATTCTCATAGCACTCAGGCGTCGTATGGAACCCATCCTATATGTGGGCTCCTCATCGCTGCTAGTCTCTTTTGTGGCCTCCTGAACGGACATGGATGACAATCTCTTTTGGATCTTGTCAAGTTCTTCTTTATGCTCGCAATCCCACCATTTGTGTGGACCTCGACAAAGTATGCAGTTTATTGCGCTTGTGTTTGCCGAGGATGCGCCGACCCTCGAGTTTCCTGAGTTGTGGGAGAGGGTAGATGTTTGTCTCTGGGCATCACCTCCTCCACTTCTTCTATGATATGTATTAATGGTGTTGGACGATACTCGTGAGCCGTTCTCTATACCCTTTGGAGAGCTTTGAGACGGACTGTTAGAGCGTGTTGACGTCCCACTTGAATCCTTCTCAGATTGACGACCCTTCCCGACTGAGTAGTCCATCAATCTCTCAGCAGCACACATAGCAGCAGCGAGGGTATCAATATTCTGCCTCAAAATCTCTCGCTGCGCCCATTCCTTTAACCCGTTGACAAAGTTGAACACACGATCTTTTTCATTCATGTCTGTGATGTCCAACATTATCGCCGAGTATTCCTTAACATAGTTGCGAAGAGAACCCTTCTGGCGACACTCTTGCAACTTCATCCGTGCAACAAACGCTGTGTTGACGGGGTAGAATTGTTCTTTGAGTTCCTCTTTGAACTCCGCCCATGTATCAATCTTGATCCTTCCTGCTTCGATGTCTGCGTGCTTGGTGCACCACCACAGCTTAGCATCTTCGGACAAGTACATGATGGCAGTATCCACCTTCTGATCGTCACTTAGTTGACAAATTCGGAAGTACTGCTCCATGTCGAAGAGGAAGTTATCAACTTCTTTCGCATCTCTAGCGCCACTGTAGTCGCGAGGTTTGGGCGGCTTTATCTTCGCCGTACCAACACCCAGTGCGTCTCTACCCACAGCGCGCGTTAAGGTAGCACATTTCTCAAGTGCTTCGTCGGCTTTTCCTTGAACAAATTGCAATTGTTCGCGGAGGGCATCTCTGTCAGCCATCAATTTCACAATTTGCTCGGCTTGCTCGTGTACAATGACTTGGAGCTCGGCCCATTTGTCCGCCTTCTCCTCGAGCCAAGCGAGCCTTTCTTCTACGAATTCCATCTTCGTGTAGCCCTCCTTGGTGTCTACACGGGTTGCTTGCGACGAGGTTTGAGCCTCGGCTCTGATACTAACTGTCACGGTCCGGGAGTTTGGACCCCGAAACGTGCGGCGCGCTCTAGTCTTTTGGCGGCAAGAACGCTAGCCTTGAGCGGAAGAGGAGCTTGTGAGCACAAAGCAACACAAGCGGGCAATAGAATCTCAGGAGCACTCACGTCTATCTGGGCGACGGAGTGCGGGTGGTCGGGGCTTGTGACGGCCGATACTTCAAAGCGGGCACAAGCGAGTCCGAACCACGAGTCCTTAGCGCATCAAGTTGGGTTGGAGGGGAGCTAATATGCAAGTAAGACACAATATCTATAAAGGTCTAACAACAAACAAGCATAAAAGCCAGGCAACACTTGGTAGAAGGTTTTAAGATTTCATTAATCATTCGCCCTCTAAAGAGCTTTAAATGACATACAAGGAGAATCCCTAGTGAACACTGATCTGACAGTAACACAATAATGGGACCTCAAGCTAAGAAAACATAACCTAAACTCTAGGAAAGCACTTAAATGGAATCTAATACATCAAAAGGAGTTGGATTCTAACACCCGGGCAATCAGCCTGATTGATGAATTTTGTCAATCAATTGCTTTTTGTGGGGCCCCCTTGCCAAATAAATTAATTTTATACTACTATTTGGTTTTGAAGACGTTAGTAACTCTAACGTCTGTTTCTTTTTTTTTATAAATTTTATTAACATCTTCTCCAATCTTCCACCCACAACACCGTCATAGTCATCATCACTCCGACCACCATCCGAAACCCATCACCGCCACCACAATCTTTACGCCTTTCGCCGAACGAACCCAGAAAGCCTGAGTTCTTCGTCCTCATCTTCAGTTCTTCCCGTCGTGCTCTTCTTCCCAACAATGGTAGCTTCGCGGCGAAACTAAAAGACACCCTACTTGAATAGAGTGTAAATTAGGGTCATATCAACCCTTTAGGGAAAGCCTTTCATTTGCGGCAACATTTTAAACTGCCATATAAGGTGGGTTTTTGCGGAATTTCAGAATTGGGTAATGGGTTTTGGATGGAGCTTGAGTTCCATAGAAATGGAGTTTGAGAGAAATTGGGGGAGACAGACATTGTTGTTAATGGCGGATTTTCGGGTTTTGGGGGAAATGAGGACGGGATTTAGGAGAGAGAAAAAGGTGTTGAAATCGAAATCAGAGGCCAGGTTGAATTGAGTGGTAATTGTGGTAATTGAGGGAGTGAGAATGAAGATCGATGATGATGATGAGGAGGTTAATCAAGCTTTCATGGTGGTTGTTACTTGTTAGGATTGGAAGCTGAAATTCTGGGTTTTGAGTGACTGATTACTCCCATTCGCATTTTTATTTAATTTTTTGGGTTGTTGTTGGAGTGCTTGTTGATTGATTTTAATGGAAGGAGGAGGAGGTGGATTTGCAGGGAGTAAGAGAGAGAGAGAGAGAGAGAGAGAGGTGGATTTGTGGTAACGACAATGAATATCAACGTTTGCACAAGCTGACCAAACTACCCTTACTAATATGACTGAAAAGACGAAATTAACCCCTGATTTATACAAACTGTAAATCAGCCTCATTGACTTGTATTTTCTCATTACAAACATGGCTATGCAAACCATGCTGTGTGTATCGTGCGCGTTAATTTCAAAATTAAATTTCACAAAATTTCGTAAATTTTATTAAAAGCCAAAACGTGTCAAACATATATAACATATCTTTACTACTATAGTTGGGTAATGTATTTCATTTTTGTACGCAAATTTCACAGATTGCATTGATGGAAAATAACCAATACAATGGCAATAGCAGCAACATAAGCAGTAACAACATCAACAACAATGGCACAAAGCTTCATGTCTCGAACGTCGATGTGTTTTCGAGTATAAACGTGGGCGAGGCTGCTAATAGTGGACGATCCATGGAAAACATATTAGCAGAGTTACTTCAAGACACTCAAGCTTGTCCCGAAACCAATACTTGTAGCTTGAGCGAAGATTGTAGTCATACACACGACTTCTTTCATAAGCAAAGTGATGAAATGTTTCCTTCTAACGAAGAGAAAAGTAGTTACGACGATTCTCTTCAAATTGAGGAGCAACAAAGTAAGAAGAGAGGAAGGAGACAACGAGCGGATAACAAAGAAGCTGTACGCAAGTACCGCGAAAAGTTAAGGATAAGAGAAGCCTCACTCGAAGAAGAAATCAAGATGTTAAAGGAGTCGAATCAACAATTGTTAAAGAAGCTTGAAGGTGAGGCAGCATTGCAAGAAGAGATTTTGTGGCTTAAGTGTTTGCTTGTTGATATACGAGGGAGAATTGAAGGGGAAACTAATTCGATTCGATTTCGTAGACAACCCAATGCGAGTTTGATTGGTAATGATCGTATGGTTCATTGCAATGGGAATTGTGGAAAGGGAGGTAAAACTAAAATGTCAAATTCAATGTTATATGGTGAAGGTACTAGTGGTGGTGTTTCTATAAACTTTAACTATACTGCGAGTATTGGATCTAAACCAAAAGATACTCTCAACTTTGAACATCGAAGTTGATAACCTCTAGGAGTTCAACTAGTGTTGCCAATGACAAAAAAATAAAGGTTACTGTTTCGGGGTTTTCTGATGTCCTGCGGGAGAGTTACAATTCCGAGACTGGAACCGGACGCCTGTACCTGCAAAACAAACGGATGCTCCGGATGATTGGAGATCTGCCTCCGACGGTCAAATTAGTACTTGATTAAGGAGTAATTAATGCGGAAATTAAAGTGATTGGGTCTCTTTAGGTGAGAGAGTTTAATGTGTGTAATCTGCGTCCTCTCCCTTAATGAGGATTAAGGGAGGTATTTATAACCTCGGGAAACGTGCCAATCTAGGTTTAGGTTAACCTTGGGCTGATTGGCTTCCCTCGGAAATTGGGCCTTGGTGACCGGTTATCCCAGGTGTCATGGGAAGGACACGTGTCGTGTCGTAATTGGTCCATAGTGGACGGATCATTGCTTGACACGTGGCAGGCTTATATTGGCCCATGTGACGGACACATGGCGGAACCTGATTGGTCCACTTGTCAGATGGTGATTGGTGGGGAAAAATCCCCTAATCATTTGCCCCTCACAGGTGGCACGTGACTGGTCACGTGTTACCTGTGACAGGTATCGCCCTGTAACAGGCGACGGCCTGCTACAGGTGTCACTCGGCGAGAGGCCGAGAGATTCTCCAGCCAAAATTTTGAATTCTGGAAGTGATCCTTCGCCTTCTCACTTCGCCTATATAAAGGAGTGTTGACTTCGGTCATTATCACACTTGAAAACTTTGTGAGAGAACATTCGGACCCCTGAACTTGCTCTGACATTTTGGACCCTTTCTGCCTACCGCCTGCTCTGACAAGCCGACTGCAAAGGATTTTCAGAACTTCATCAATCGTCACTCGTTCAGGTAACCGTCGGTTCTCTTACTCTTAATTTTCTCTTTACTTTATTCTTTTTTGAAATGGCACCACGGAAGCACACGACACGACCTAGGTTAGTGATCAGCCGGTCACCGGGGACGGCTGAATCTAGGACTAGGAGTGTCGCCTGCCCTTTTCTGGACCCATCTTTGCCCTTTATACAAAGTTCGACTGTATCTGTGTCTATTTAGAGCATGATGGCCAGAACAAAAAAGACTGCCAGGATCTCAAACTCAGACGGCTCCTCCCACAGGGTGCCGATTAGTGAAACATCTGACCAGGCGCCAGATTTGGAAGTGAAACAAAGCGGCTTGAAAGCCGGCAGTTCTGAGGGAGGAGTCAAAGTGACCCCTTCCCATTTTACAGTTGACAATTCTACATTCTCTCCTGCTCCTTTTAAAGGAGAGGAGGCGGGCCCCTCCAGGAGAGGGGAGGAGTCGTCCTCTTCGGACTCGTCAGATGACGATTCCGAGTCTAGCTCTTCTGGCCATGATTCTCTGGACACAGAAGAGAAAAACAGTCGCCTACAAGAGGCGAGGCTTTCTCACGCAGTTGAGAAGGGGGACGATTGGGCGGAGCCATCCGCCTCTCACCGAGAGCAAAATACCCCCTACTACTGCACGGTACCTCGGGGCCGGATCACAGCCATGCAAGAGAAAGTGGAGAGCTTTATCGCAAACCACACAATGGGCCCCGGCTTTTTAGTGTTTTTGCCGGATCCAGAAGACACAGTCGTCTGGCCGGCTGGTACCAGTTATGATGGCGCCTACTTTGGCTGCTACGAGGCGGCCATCAAGGCTGGGCTGCGCTTCCCACTACATCCGGTTGTTCAGCGGATCTTGGATGGGTATGAGTTGGGGTTATGGCAGTTAGCCCCGAACTCCTGGGTCAACATACTCGGCTATGTGGCCGGGTGCGAACTGCACGGGGTGGAGCCGAACTTCGAGGCTTTCGCCCACATGAACTACCTCAGCCGGACCCCTAAGGCAGGCGGTACCGGCTGGTATCAATTGACGAGCCACAGGGGCTACCTCATGACGAGAGGTAAAGCAAACAAATGGAAGGACTGGCGGAGCACCTTCCTTATCATTGAGAGTTCAGACACAGAGCTGAACAAGCGCTTCAACAGGTGGAACAGGAATCCGCCCCTTCTTGCAGGCGGCCGCAGCATGCCGCCTGTTCCCCCCAAGGCTAAGAAAGAGATCCTAGATAAAGGACTCTTCAAAGTAGAGTCGAAGGTGAACTCTACTTCAGGGGAAAAAGAGCAAGTACCCCTGCACTGCGTCCCGATCTTCAAATGGATCTACGACGAGTACTTTTTGACCGCCTGTGGCCTCAGCAGTCGGTGCTCAAGAGGTAGCCGGCCTGTCGAATACTCTGTTGTTCCATGCATTTCTTGTTATGACTTTTATTAACTTTGCTATTTGTTTTTGCAGCGGACGCCATGAGCAAAATTACCGCCTCCAAGACTGCGGCGGCCATGTTGCGGGCCTCCATCATGCAACAGTTTTCAACCGACTCCCCCAACAAGGGGGCACCCTTGGTGGGCTTCGAACCTTTCACCCTCTTTTTGGAGTTGTGTTTATGCATATACTGACTCTTTTCTTCTTTTTTAGACGGGCGCTCCAAGAGCTTCTTCTTCCCAACAGCCGGACCCCAAGGCCCGGAGGACGACTGTTGCAAGCTCTCCTGGTTCTGCCTGGAAACATGTGGCGGCTGAGAAACAGCCGGCCACCTCTTCTAAGACTCCAGCTGGGCCACCTAGAAGTATGAAATTATCCTTGTAAATTTTAGACCTGCTCCCTTCTTTACTAGGTCTAATCCGTTTGTTTATGCTTGATGCAGTCGGCCCTCAGGAGCCTGACTTGGTCGAGGTGGCCAAGTCTATGATCAAGGTCGTTCCTCCAGCTGAAAGGGAGGCGGTCAGGGGTGTCGGCACCCTTGACCTAGACGGGATTGCAGGGGTCCTTGCTGAGTTATACTTAGCATATTTTTGAGTATTTGAATTCCAGGACGCCTGTTTTCTTTTTTGTTTGGAAACTGACGCCTGTTCCCCTTTTTACTTAGGCCCTGCTCCGAGTGAACGGCCTTCGCAAGCCGCTTGACCGGAAGAACAAAGAGGTAAAGGCTGCAAAAGCTATGGCCGCCTCTGACTGTGATAAGGCAATGTTTCAAATTGCCCAAAATGAAGTTCTGACCATTGATATTCTTTATTATCAGGCGCAGGCTACCGCCGCTATCCGGGCTCAGTTAGAGGCGGCCCAGAAGAGGAATAGCGAGCTGGAGGCGACCATCAACAACCTCAAGGTCGAGCTGAGACCTCTTCGCCAAAAGATGTCCTCATACGAAACCTTGGAGAAATCCTTGGCGAGCGTAAAGGTACGCCTGGTGACCCAGGAGAAGAGTCTTACTCAGGAGCTCTCGGAATAGGCCGAGCAAGAAAAGAAAGAGCTGGTCCGGGAGATGATGGAAGACTCTGCTCAAATCCAGCGCATGACTTGGGGCCGCCTCTTCCCCAATGCCGACTTTGCCTCATGGGAAAAAAACGTACCGCCAGTGTTCTGATAGATATAATCAAGAGATCCTGGCGGCTGCTGAGGAAGAGGCGTTGGAGGAGGAGCAGCAGCCGGTAGTGGCGCTTGTGCCGCTTGGGGGTAATGCATCAAAGAAGGATGCAGCTGAAGCCGAGTCCAGCAAGAAGAGTGGTGACCAGGCGGCAGCTGCTAATATTGAAGATTTGCCCCCTTCTTAAGCTTTATGTCTTCTTTCCACAGCCTGCGTGTCGTTTGTTTGTATTTACCCGGCCAGGGGGCCGGGGCTCTGAATATTTTGCCGGTCTTTAATGACCGGCTTCCTTTTAATGAATATTTTTGTTTTGCTTCAAATTTGTTTAAGTATTGAATATTCTGATATTCAATTGTACACTATACCGACTGTTTTATATGGCCGATAAGTGCAAACAAGTACGGATAGTTAGTCACGCCGCCTATGCCCCTGGACGACTGGTTGTCTGTTTCCAGGCTAGACGATCAGTCGACCATTTATCCAATCGGTATTCGAACCATTTTAAAGACTGGATCCCCTTTAGGCAGGCGGTCCTGTCATTTGTAAAATTTAACCAAGTAGGAAAGTTGTTTCCTACTTGTCATGCTTTTAGGCTAGAGACTTTAGGCCGTCTAGGCCGACTGTTTCCCGCCATATTAAATCTAGTGTGAACAGGTGCTGTATGAACACCTTTTTAGTTTCATACTAAAATTTTTAAGGAGTGACCAAGTAAACATGATTGTTACCTAGTCGCCAAGTAACTGAGTAGTAGAGGTATCAAGCGGTGGGTACCGGTTGTTCCCCTTTATTCGCCAATGTTTGTTGGCTTTTAACTCATAGGTTGTTAACCTAGCAGGAGTAGTGGTTGAGAGCCCTTGTTTGCTAAAAACAGGCGGACGACTCATACCTTTTAGGCTCCATACTAAGTTTGAGAGAGTGACTATGAGTTAACTTTGGTGTTACTCAGTCGCCGTCACTCCTGCTTGAGAAGTAAAGGTACCAGGCGGCGGTGGCCGGCTGAACCTTTTGATTCGCCAATGTTTGTTGGCTATTAACTCAAGAGATACCCCCTGCATTTATCCCAAGTAATACAGGCGGTCATCTGACTCAGATGCCAACTGCTACCACTGGTTTGGTTAGTGATAGAGTTATCCTTGTCTTAAAAACGGCTACGTGGTTGCCCTTGGGGACAGTCGTATAGGTGCCGTGTAATTAGTTTATAGAGCAATGTTCCACCCAAAAGGGAGCTGCTCTCTGCGACGAATTTCATCCGGAGGGATGCCGCCGGACGCCTGCTATGATGTTGGGATAGGTCGTATTAGTTTAAAGATTGGATCAGTTGGCTTGGCGCCTGGACTGATCATTCGGCTTGTGGAATTGGTTAGTTCTTGGTGAACGTAGGTGCTAAGTAAGAGCAGGGTAGCCGATAAGAATAAAAATTAAACATGGAGAGTAGCCGACTGTTTGTCAGTAGGCATGCCCCTCTTAGGTAAAAATGAAAACTGAGCATGGAGAGTAGCCGACTGTTTGTCAGTAGGCGTGCCCCTCTTAGTACAAAATTTAA